CTTATTTAACAAAATAGAAGTAATAATAAATAAAATAAATTAAAAATATTACGTAAATAATAATACGAACCTAACTTACTTAGTAATTAGTTTGGAGCTTAGTTTGTCTTACTTTATTATTTACTAATTATTTTTTTATATTTGTATTAGGTGCGCCTTGATGAGAAGAATGAACGCTTAACATTTCAAGTGATTTGGATTTATAGAAAAAAAAATGAAAATTCAAATACGAAATTAGATTGTAACCGTCAGATCGGCCCCAATTGAATGTGGACCATTGACTGACACTGTAGTAGTCAGCCCGTGGACTGACAGATGATCTCGTTTTATGTATAGTTTAAATTAGAACCCTCTCCGTTAAAACCTTGACTTAATAACATGGGATCTTGCTCCGAGGTATCCTAAAATCTAGCTCATTAATTTGTTGAATGTACGAACTAACCTCAAGGAGCTTCCACCCTATGGTGGTTTGGCATTTTCCAAACCATTCCTGCTCCCGCTCCCGAACCTGCCCCCTCCCCTGTCTCCAACAGCTATGGCTCAAATATTCTAGTGGCGCAACTGTTGGTGTTTATGGTGTCACCTTAAGCAACGAGAAATAGGCCCCTGGCTCTAAGAAGCAGTTCAAAGTCTTACTGGTAAAGCTTTTTCTTCAGCTTGGTTAAATAGAAGAAAACTTACCATTTGGTCCAAATAGGCGAGCAGCATGGCACCATATGCTATCCCTGAAAACACTTCAAAAATGCCCACTGGTCCTAGCTTTCCAATGGAGCAACCATTCAAGTTCAGTTTGATGGTGCCTGCATCCGAGGGAAACCGTCGACTGGAATGAGGGATGACCATTGGGGTAGAATGCAAAATGGTTTTTCAATTGGGTGCGGTTTGTATAGAGCAGAGGCTCTAAACAATCAAATTCAAGCCCACCTTCAAATAGTATCGAAAAATATAGTTTTAATTCTGAAAAGTTTTGTGATAATTTTAAATTATATTTTTATATTTAATTATATTATTTAAAGCTTCAAAAAATAGTGTAGATCGAGCATATCTATGAAAACTTGAAAATCTTGTAATTAACGGTCCAAAAATGTGTCACAAGATGCACTATTTTCAGAACTTGAAATTTATTTTTTTCACATGTCTAGGCATCTTGATGTGGAGAAGATCAATTTGAAGATATTTGAGCTTCAAAACAACCTCTTCTAATGAAAGTTTTAGGGTAGGCTCTACTTTGATTGTTTAGAGCCTAGGCTCTATATAAACTTTTCCCTTTCCAATTTGGTATGAAATTAGTAGGAATTGGGCTTAGGTCAAGTTGATAGAAGCTGGGTTTTCATAGCACAAAGTCTCACGTTTCAAGTTCCATTCCTATGTAACCTTGTCTAAGAAAAAAACAAAAAAGTGTGAAAGGTCCCAGTCCCAGGTTCCTTTTAGTGGGAGGCCCAAAAGAAAGTTTTAGAAAACGGTTT